CTACAAACCAAAAAGAGGGGAAAAAGTCATTACAAAACTTCTAGATGGTAGGTGTGGTAGTTATGTTTGTGTGTCAACTTGGCTGGGCCTGGTTGAGTGGCTGGGCAGCTGGTGGGGCTATGACAGGAACAAGCAGAAATTTCCTCTTTCAGTTCAGGGGGCTTGAGTCTGAATGCCAAGCAACAGTTCTAGGGGAGGGCTTTCCGTCAGTTTTTGTTCTTTTGTGCTTGTCACATGGCCAGGCATCTGTCTTACACCATCTCTGCTTGCTTCCTTGTCCTAATCTGCTCTTGTTATGTCTCAAAGGTGATTAGCTTAAACCCAGCCTACAATGATAGGGCCTCTTCACATAACAAAGAAACCCTATTCCCAAACGGATTATAACAGGTGTAACAATTGCTGTTAGGTCCATTCCAATTTACAGCAATCCCACAGGACAGGACAGATCTGCCCCATAGAGTTCCCAAGGCTGTAATCGTTACAAAAGCAGACAGCCACAACTCTCTCCTACAGAGTAGCTGGTGAGTTTAAACAACTGACCTTTTGGTTAGCAGCTGAGCACTTTAACCATTGTGCCAACATGACTCCTAACCACAGATATAATACCAAAAAATTCATTGTCAGTAGATTCTGATTCACAATAGCCTTGAAGAACAGAACTGGCCCATACAGTTTCCAAAGCTATACTCTTTACAGAAGTAGGCTGCCACATCTTTCTGCCATGGAACGGCTGGTGGATTTGAATCGCTGATGTTTTGGTTAACAGCTGAGTGGTTAACCACTGCACCACCAGGGCTCCTCTATGAGGTTATATTACTGCATTTAACCGCTAAGGTGAGGCATCGGAAAACCCACTTGTGAGAACGAGTTTTCCTCCACTCCACTGACCCCGTTGGCATCAAAAGCTGTGATTTATCTTCCTATGATGACAAGCATAACCTGAAACCCGGGGGTCCCATCCTCCACAGAGGTGACCTCACCCAGGTGACCCAGCCACCTGCAGAGGAGCTGGGAGTGGTGGTGTGGTGGGAGATGACTGGTTCTTGGTGTAGCATTTGTGGGTGACCCCGAGTCCCTCCACAGTGAATGGTTAGTACACTGGGCGGCTGCCAATCCAAAGGTTGGACGTTCAAGACCATCCAGAGGTGCATCTTAAGAAAGGCCTAGAGACCTAGTTCTGAGAAATTAGCTACTGAAAACCCTGCAGAGCAGTTCACCAACACTGGGTTGCCATGAACCAGAACTGACTGGATGGTGACTGGGATTTTTTAGGTAAATCCCTTTGCCTGTCTAAGCCTCAGACTTCTCAGCCATCAAGATGGGATCCTACTGTTTACTGTGAACATGGGATCCTACAAGAAAGAAAATGCTTTCTCAGCTGTCAAGTACCATTGGAAAGTGTCTTCCTTCTCTAGTGCTGTTGTCGTTGTTTGCCGTCGAGTTGGCCCCAACTCATAGCTGCCCCTCCTTGGGTTTCCGAGGCAGTATCATTACAGAAGTAGGATTGCCCAACCTTCCTTCTGAGGAGTGGCTGGTGGGTTTGAACCGCCAGCCTTCTGGTGAGCAGTCAAGTGCCTTAGGCACTATGCTACCAGAGCTCCTCTCTAGTGCTAGCGTAACAGAAATACCTTAACTGGGTGGCTGTTAAGACAATCTCTCTCAGTTCAGGCAGCTGGAGGTCTGAATTCAGGCCCCCCAGGGGAAGTTTCCTCTCTGCCCTACAGCAAGGTCCTTGTGTCTTCATCTTCTATCCTTTGGCTCCCTGGTGATCTTCACATGGTGTGTTTTTTATCTCCCCCATCTCTGCCCAGTTAATCTGCTCGTTCATATTTCAAGAGATTGATTTAAGACACACCTTACACTAAGCCTGCCTCATTAAAATGACAACGAAAACTGAGTGAGATTATAGCCACAGGTATGGGGGGGGGGAGGAAAAAAAGAAAAAAAAAAAAAACCTCACTGCTATCAATTTGATTCCAAGTCATAGTGACCCCCTTTGGTTTTCCAAGGTGGTAAATCTTTACAGAACTAGATTGTTTCATCTTCCTCCCGTGGAGTGGCTTGTGGGTTCGACCCACCAACCTTCTGGTTAGTAGTCAAATGCCGTCGGCACACCACCACCAGAGCTCCTTAGCCACAGGTATAGGATTGGGATTTACAACACGTTTTGAGAGACATAATTCAATCCATAATGAGTTTACAGTCATCAGGGGGATTTCTACTTTGGAGATTCCATACTGGAAGGGTACTCAGTGGTTCTCAACCAGGAGACCGTCCAGATATCATCCAGTTCAGTTACGAGATAGTTATGATACATACTAATAGTTTGGTAATGGTCGCAAAGTTTGCGACTAATGGCACCAAAGTTTGCGAGTAATGTGTTGGAACATCAGTGAGAACGGATTCAAAATAGTCTCCCTCATCGGACTGACTATATGCATTACCAACAGAGGAAGGAAGCCAGCATAGCCAACAAGGAGCCTGGGCACCGTGGCTCCTCTTCTGGTCCCTTTCTGGGCACAGTAACATTCTGTTGCTCACACACCCACAGGCATCCTATTGCACCCAGCCAACCTGGTGTCTCTGCTTCTGGGGGGTAAGAACAAGGTCTCCCTCCACTGCACCATGGGGGGTGGGGTACGTGGTGCCAGCCACTGCAGAGGGCAGTCCACTGGCCACGGGAGACCTGTATCCTCTAGAGAATTTGATCTTGCCGTCCTTTGAGTAGTATTATGATACGCACAATTAACATGAGTCTTTTATCAGTAAACTCAAACCCTGGGATCACACTTTCCCCTCCCCACCTTTGTTCAGGCCATTTCCTCTAACTGTAGTGCCCTTACCCCAAATCCCCAATGTTCTCTGCCCTTTCAAGGCTCATCTCAAATGTTTTCTCCCCCAAAATCCTACCTCAGAACCCCTCAGTCACACCCTTTCTCTCCCATGTTTCTCTTTTCTCTTCCCCCTTTCATCACACGAAAATGACCACGACTTTCTGTAGTTATTAGCAGATGTCTTTTTGAGTTCCCACCCCAACTGGAGCATGAGTGCTTTGCAGATGGGGTCTGCATCCCCAGTGTGTGGTAGCATCAGGCAAGGGAAGGAACAAACTTTCTCATATTCATAACTTTATTCAAGAGAACAAACATCCACACATGGAAGGTGGACCAGCACTGGCCTGCAACAGAGGTAACAAGTTACAGAGATACTTGGTGGCTTCCATACTTCCCCAGGATTCTGACCTTACTTTGGTGTCAACTCTTTCAAGGAACACAAACCTATTAACTTGTGTGCTCACCCCTGTCCTGACCCACAGCACTACGCCCATACCTTCAGTGTGGTCACACACTTGTCTTCCAGACCTGACAGGGAGAGAAGGGGCCGTGGGCAGAGACTTGACAGGGTTAACCATTTCAAAAGCCCCATGCTTACCACTGTGGTGTGGGACCTATGGACCTATTTAATCTGTTCCCAAACAGATTAAATGACAAAACCCACCAGCAGCTCAAAGGGCAAAGTTATAAAAGACCAAGAAGGTAGAGCATACACATCTGAACTTCTCTATGCACCAAAAATCATGAAAGATTAAAACTGTTAGCACCCATTGTCTGTGAGGCTCTACTGAACTTCTGCCAATGGGTGACTGGTTTCCTTAACCTGCAGAGTACAAATGCCCAGAGGTGGCTCTATCAGGAAGGTACTGTTCGTGTGGCTCCATAAGGTGATTCTCAGATTATGGAACAGGCTTGGCCAAGGTCAGTGGTTTCCTCAGGGGCTCCGGTCCTGTTGCCTCACTGGACTCTACAGCAATCCACAGTGGCCACGGACCTTGCGGGCAGTATGAATTCATGTGGCATCTTGGGTCAGTCATAAGCCAACTGCATTCCTCTGTGAACTTGAGGCTGTTGACTTCCCTTTCTGATTCCAGAAATTCCCAGGAAAGGCAGGGCTTATCACATTGGTAGCTATCCACCAGAGCCTAGCAATGTGCCCAGTGAGCATCCCAGCAATCTTTGCTACATCACAATTTCACCACCATGCACCTCTTCCGTATCCGTTGTGTCCTGGGTGGCAACATTCCATGAAGCTTTTCTGAGTTCAACAGTGTTTTCAGTATTAACTCCCATGCTAAACTGGGTTTCAAAACATAGCTGGTCGCTTTAAGTTGGGGAGGGGAGTTAAAGGGAAGAGGTGGTGTATGTATGTGGGAGGCGGACCCCATTTTGAAAGAGAGGTTTAGGAGGTTAGAAGTGTAAAGTATCAGCCATCTGAGGTTAGGCATAAGGGCACTATATGCTCTTCGTGGCTCTGTGGGTTAGTTAACAAGATAATAATAGGGCAAAGCAGAGATAAAGGGCAGAAATTAAGAGAGCGAGAGCTGGGGTTTGGGAACCTGATTAAGCCGGGGGTAACTGAGAATGAAAACTTAAAGTTACAGACATGTATAACATTAGTAAGAACTAAGTGCAGTAAACAGAGGGAAGGCTGCTGATTCTCTTCTCCCTTTTAATATAAAAAAGTATATTGATGTCATCTCAAATGTGCATTTACAGCTCACACTTAGTGAGAACTTTTATGCTGGGCACTCATTCTAAGTGCTTTATGGGCACTAACTTACTCAATCCTCTCAACAGCCCTCTGAGGTAGGTATTAATCATCATTCCCATTTTACAGATGAGGACATTGGGGCCCTGAGGGGCTCACTAATGCTTCCAAGGTCACTTAGGTAGTAAATGACAGAGCCAGGATTTAACTCAGGCAGACTGTCTCGAGTCTATTTTTCAATCCCAGTGCTATATTGCTTCTCAATGCTTGTGTTCTCATTGTTTTAATGCAACTCATGTGTGCAAATTTTACAAGCCTTTATTAACGAAGAGATTTGTTTTGGAGTGGGGACTCTGCTATGAGGTGGTATCAACCTTGGCCCTCAGATGAACAGATCCTAGTCTGTGACTCAGCTGCCATCGAGTGGCCAGGGAAAGACTGGCTGCTCTCTACAGCTACTTGCTTTGGGTATGAAGTCGCTGGTGTCGGGTGAAGTTTGAGTAGCATCTAAAGACTTTCTGACAATGTGGACACTGGTAAGGTTTCTCTTGTGTGTGAATTCTCTGGTGCTCAGTAAGATGGGCACTGACACCAAAGGTTTTGCCACACACGCCACAGGTGTAAGGCTTCTCGCCAGTGTGAATTCTCACGTGTTGTGTCAGATTTGCTTTCTGGGCAAAGGCTTTCCCACATTCAGCACATACAAAGGGCTTCTCTCCGGTGTGAATCCTCTGGTGAGCGGAAAGGCATGAGGTCTGGTTGAAGGCTTTCCCACATTTCTTACAAACGTAAGGCTTTTCTCCGGTGTGAACTCTCTGGTGTCGGATAAGCTGGGTCCCCAGGGTGAAGGTTTTCCCACAGTCGGTGCATTTGAAGCGCTTCTCGCCTGTGTGAACTCTGTGGTGTCTGGAAAGGCACGAACTCTGGCGGAAAGTTTTGCCGCACTCGTTGCACTCAAAGGGCTTCCTTCTGGCATGAATTCTCTGATGCTGAATGAGGTAGTTTATCCGGGTGAAGACTTTGTCACACTTGTTACATTTGAGGGCTTTCTCTCCAGTGTGAACTACCTGATGTTCTGAAAGACATGTGCTCTGGCTGAAGGTCTTTCCACACTCATTACACTGAAACGGGGGCTCACTCGTGTGGGTGGCCTGATGCTCAGTGAGGGAGGAACTGCGGCTGAAACTCTTCCCACATTCGTGACATTTGTAGGGTTTCACTCTCGAGTGGCTTTTCTGATGGCGAAGAAGCTGCTTATTTTGACTAAAGGTTTTCCCACACTGGCCACACTCAAAGGGCTTCAGCCTGGTGTGAACCCTCTGATGCTGATTTAAGTATTTGCGGCAGCTAAAGGCTTTCCCACACTTGTTACACTTGTAGAGCTTCTCAGCAATCCTTGGATGCTCTTGAGTTTGTGAGTCCTGACTTAAGTTGTTCCCTCTTTCATCTAATCCTTGTTTTTCTCTGGTGTGAACACTCTGGTGGCAATTCAGGGTTGAGCTACAGATGAAGCGTTCTCCACACTCCTGACATACGTAGGGGGTTTCTATAGTATGGATTTTCTGATGCTGAACAAGGTGTTCGTTGCAGCTGAAGGTCTCCTTGCAGTCAGCACAGCTGTAGAGTCTGTCCGTGGTGTGAGTCAACTGATGTCGAATCAGGTGGGAGGGCCGGCTGAAACTCTTGACACACTCAGGACATTGGTGGGGCCTACAGCCCGTATGAGTTCTCTTGTGTTCACTAAGGTGAGTGTTACGGCAGAAGGCTCGACCACACTCGCTGCATTTGTAGGGTTTCTCCCCACTATGGACCCTCTGATGGATCTTTAGGGTCGAGGTGTGGCTGAAGAGTTTTCCACATTCATTACACTTGTAAGGCTTCTCGCCAGTGTGGACAGCCTGGTGCTCAATGAGTGATGCACTGCGCCTGAATGCCTTCCCACATTCCTGACACTTGGAGGTCATTTTTGCAGTGTGAGTCTTCTGATGTTGGATGAGATGCTTACGCAACTTGAAGGTCTCTTTGCACGTGGCACATTTGTACTGTTTCCTAGTGTGAATCTGCTGATGGCGAGTAAGATGGAAGGCTCGGCTGAAAGCGTGGCCACACTCACTACATTGGTAGGGTCTGACAACAGCCGGGCGAGTTTTCTGATGCTCAGCAGGCTGTGCGTGCTGACTACGCTCAGCAGGCTGTGCTTGCTGACTACGCTCAGCAGGCTGTGCGTGCTGACTGACGGCATGGTCACGGTCTTGACTCTCGCACAAGTTTTCTCCAGTGTGAATTTTCTGATGCCACAGGAGGTGTGTATTCTGACTGAAAGTTTCCCCACATACATTACACATATAGTATTTGTAGCTCGAGCGAGTCACCTGATGCACACGGATGCAAGAACTCTGGTTGAAACTTTTCTCACAGTCCTGACCCACGGTGGTGGGTTTCTCTCTAGTGTGAATGATCCAGTGCTGGATAAGGTGGTAACTCCGACTGAAGGTTTTCCCACATTCGCTACATTTATATGGTTTCTCAGCACCCTGCATCGTATCATCTTGTTGGCTCTGGTCAGAGTAGCAGGCAAATTCATTCAGAAATTCCTGAGGCTTCGATGGTGTGAGGCTCTCTTCAGGAAGATCACACACTGTGGAATCCTCTCCTGTGAAGAGGAAGGACCTAGGACTAAAGCCGCTCTTGAGCTCTGGGCTATTGCACTTTGTGGGACTTTCCTTGTTGGTGACAAAGTCAGACTTCAGAAGACTCTCAGGATCTCCTAGCAAATTATCTAACCAGCTCTCGCCAATACAAGCTTCTTCTAAACTGGAATACCAGAGGCCATCCTTTGAAAAGGTCTCCATTATCTCTTGGGATAGTCCTTCTTCCAAGAAGTCCTGCTTCAGAGGAGAGTTCTTGGGCTCAGCTGTATCTGAAAGAGATAAAAAGTAAAAATGCCTCCTGTTTCTAAGGGTGGAAAGATAGGAACTGCTGGGTGACAATGTGGACAAGAGGGTGTATGGCTCCTGAGTCAAGCCACTCCATCAAGGGGATAAAGGCAAAGTGGCCAGGAGTGGTGGTCTGGCTTTAACTGACATCACAGAGAACAAAGGTCCAAGAGGGGAGCGGGGAAAAGCAGGATCCAACAGGGAAGGAGATCCCGTCAGTGCGGATTCCCCACCATCACCCCCCTGCCTACATTACTACTGATGAAGTTTCCTAAAGTCTCTGGGACTCATCTCCTTACTCCCCTTGACTGTCCTTCATCATCCCCCGAATCCTGCTTTCACTGTGGGTCCCTCATCCCAGTGCAGCCATCCATGCATCCAGTCCTCCAAACCAGGACCCTAGAAGTCAACCTCCCTTGCCTTAGGCAATACTTTCTGCTAGTTCTCCTTCAAATTCCCTTTGCCCCTTCTCTTTCTGTCATCAACTTCCATCTGGCCCCAGGCTACTCCGAGGCCTCCAGTCGCTCTTCCTAGTCCTCCATGCTGCCCTGAGAGGGGCTAACAGAGATCTCACCAAGCCAACCTGCAGCTTAAACCCTTCCCAGGCTCCTCCTCGTCTGGAGAAGAGAAATGCACATGTCATGAGCCCAGCAGGCTTCGGGGCAGCCCCACAGAGCTCTCTTGCATGTCGCCGAATCTAACATATTCTCACCTACTTCTGATTCATTGATAATTACTGCCCATCTCAGGTATCATGTCCCTTGGAGAGCCTTTTTTGATACCCTGGTATGGACGGAACTGTATTTTCCCAATGTTTGTGTTGAAATCCTAGCCCTTAGACCTATAAATATGACTGTCTGGAAATAGGGTTTCCTCTGTTGTATTAATGAGGTTTGTATGGGGAGCGAGTCCTAAACCTAATCTCTTCTGAGTTATAAAAAGAGAACAGACGTAGAGACACACATGTTGGGGGATGAGGAGAGCTGATGGAGACAGGTGCAGCTATCAGCCCAGAAACGCTAAGGATTGCTGACAACTGTGAGTCCCTTGTTTTTCTCTGGTGTGAACACTCTGGTGGCAATTCAGGGTTGAGCTACAGATAAAGCGTTCCCCACACTACTGACATATGTAGGGGGTTTCTATAGTATGGATTTTCTGATGCTGAACAAGGTGTTCGTTGCAGCTGAAGATCTCCTTGCAGTCAGCACAGCTGCAGAGTCTGTCCGTGGTATGAGTCGACTGATGTCGAATCAGGTTGGAGGGCCGGCTGAAACCCTTGACACACTCAGGACATTGGTGGGGCCTATAGCCCGTATGAGTTCTCTTATGTTCACTAAGGTGAACATAAGAGCACAAACAGTAAAGAGCTTGACTGCGAGCCAGAAGGTTGGTGGTTCAAACCCACTCAGAGGCCTTGGAAGACAGGCCTGGTGATCTGCTTCTAAAAGGTCACAACCTTGAAAACCCTGAAGAGTAGCTCTACTCTGCACACAAAGGGTTTCCATGAGTTGAGACTCACAACTAACACCACTACAAGCTGCAAGACACGATCAAGGAGCATCCCCTAGAGCCACACCTTCAATTTGGGCTTCTAGCCCCTGAACTGTGAGAACACACGTTCTTATGCTTTAAAGTCACACACTTGTGGTATTTCTGGGCCAGCAGCACAGGTGACTAGGACACAGCTCCACACACTGTTCCGCTTCAAGCACCGTCTCCTGCACGCTCTGAATTACAGCCAGCACTTATCACCCGCTACTGTAATTATGTTAGTGTCCGACCCCCGACCAGATGGTGCACTTTTTGGTGAGGATCCCCCATTCCTCAACTGTGTAGCTTCAGGGCCAGTCCAGGGCTGCCACGCAGGCGGCCACAGGACACATTCACTGAGGGGACTCGTCCCCACTGGTGGCACGTCTGTCCGTGGGAGGGGCCCTTGTAGTGTCTCCCCAGTGACTGCTCACAGTCCCCCAGGAAGGTGGGCCCTGTGACTCTGTTATACAGCTAGGTGCTAAGTGAGCAGCAGGGGTGGTATTCAAACCCAGCCTCATCACACCACACTGCAGCCAGGTGTCTTACTTGATTGTGGTTTAGGGGAAAGTTCACATAGTAAAGTAGTTTTCCATTCAGTAACTCACACATAAACTGTTCCACGATATTGGGTGCGATCTCAGCGCTTTCCCCATTTCCACCCTGGGGTCCCCATTTCCATTCCAGTTTCTCTGTTCCTCACTGCCTCCCCATCTTTATTTTTGGACACATGTTGGCCTTTTGGTCTCGTGGAGTTCAGCAAGCCCTGTCTTAGTTATCTAGTACTGCTTTTACAAAATACCACAAATGGGTAGCTTTAAAAACCAGAAACGTATTTTCTCACAGTTTTAAGAGACTAGAAGCCTAAATTCAGGGTGCTGGCTCTGAAAGAAAGCTTGCTCTCTGTGTCAGGCCGGAGGGCACGTCCCTGCGTCTTTTCAGCGTCGGTTCCTTGGTGGTCTTCAGGCATGGCATCTGTCTTTCCCCATCTTTGCTCTCTTATGGTTCAAATGAGACTGAGCAAAGACACACCCTGCATTAATAGTGCCTCAAAAACATAAAGAATTCTCTGCGAACCACCCAACTCACTGAGTTCTTCCTCTCCACTCCACTTCATCCTATACTGCTGTCACCCTTTTCCAAGTCTGTGCCTTTCTCCTTACGATTTCTTGGCTCATTATCTAGTACCTTGGAGGCTGCTTAATGTGTTTGCAATGAGCAAACTCAAGCTGCCTCTGCTGTCTCCCAGACATCTGGCTCCTGCTCCTCACCCTAAGGCCTCTGCCCGAGACCCATCAACACACAGGGAACAGGCACCTTGTGTGGGCCCCACCACGGTGCAGCGAGCTGGAGGACCTAGAAGGAACCAGCTAATTCCTAGACAAGTACGCAGTTCAAGGGGAAATGGGAGAGAAAGTTCAGCAATGTGACTGCCAGGAGAAGAAAGGGCATGAAGTCAAGTGCACAGAAGGCATTTGCTTGAGGGGCTCACTCTGCTACAAACCAAAAGATTGGATGTTCAAGTCCACTCACAGGGACCTCAAAACAAACATCTGGAATCGACTTCTGAAAAATCACCCATGAAAACTACGGAGAACAGTTCCACTCTGATACAATGAGGTCACCCTGAGTCAGAATAAACTAAGAGGTAACTTACTTCAAAGGTACAGCTGCGTGAACTTGGAAACGTCCCCTAGGTTAAGCGGGCAGCAACAGGAAACCCAGGTGGCTGGCGTCTGTGCCTGGATCAGTAAACTATACTCATGGGGCGGTTAAGTGAGCCTGCAGAGGGCCCGTGAGAGCCAGGCCAGGCCAGGGGCCGACCGGGGGGCAGGTTAAGACTCCACCGTGCAGGCACCACGCCTCTGGTCTCTGGTTCCGGGCCCCTCCTCATGTCACTGGTACTATGATAAGACGACATCTTTGTCCCAACCAGGTACCTGCCTCAGCTTCTCCTGGGGCGGCTGGGACCAGAGGTGACACCAGGTAGTCTCACCACCTAACCTGACCCGCCTGCAGGAACCCTGGGCTGGGTGATAGCAGCGCGAGCGCTCTTGGTGGCCTTTATGCCTGAGCTCGAGTTACTCACAAATGCAGCCACTTGCTGCGCACTTCAGGGCCAGAAAGGACAGCTGGGCCTATACAACCCAAAACCTACCAAAGCCCCTGCTGTTGATCCCTCACAGTGACCCTACAGGGCAGCGCAGAGCCATCCTCAGGGCTCCCAAGGCTGTCAATCTTTACGGAAGCAGACTGCCACATCTTTCACCTGTGGGGCAACTGGTGGGTTCAAACCGCCAGCCTTTTGGTTAGCAACAAAGCACTTTAATCACTGCACCCCAGGGCTCCTGGGCCTGTACAAGGGATCAGACACATTTCAGATCAGGGATCCACAGTGGTCAGGGTGCATTAAGGCAGGCGGTGGAGAGAATCCACCCCAGGGATGGAAGGCCCCACATTCCTGAGGCGGGAAGGAACAAGGAGGGAGGAAGGAAAGGTGCTGGGACAGACCCACGCTGACGGGTGAGGGACATGTGGCAGGCGGATGAGAGGGAAGGGCCACCCAAGTGTCCCCATTCCACCTGCGATGAGGGAACAGAAGCCACCCAGGGGCAGAGTGAAGCCCAGAAGCCAGGTGTCAAGACGTCTGGGTAGCTGTGCTGGAGGGCTCACTGGCGCCCCTGGTGGAGGCCCGGAGACAGAGCGTTTGACGAGGGCCATCCCCATAACCACTGCCCACTGCGGGGGATGGGTCTGCCCTTTCCACCTGTGCGGGGTCTCCTCTACTCACCAGGGGCCATCACTTTCGGGCTTCCTCTTTCCACGGCCTCCAGCTCTTCCCCATCACCAGGGTGGGCAGTCAGGTTGGGTCTGGGGGGATCTGTAGGGAGAGAACGGCAGAATCAGCCACCAGGCCTAGCGGGGCCACCCCAACACTCAGCAGCGGCCGCCGGCTTTCCTGTCTGTCGCGCACACGCTACCTTTGGGCCAGATCCGATGTCAGGAGGTCCGATGGCCCGGCCCCACCCTGTTCCCAATCTAGTGGAAGGCAGAGAAGTGGACGGTCACCATCCAGAGTGACAGGAACTGGGACAGCTGGGGACCGGGGCAACAAGGACCTGAGACGGCTCAGGAAGGACAAGAGGCGCAGGCTGCCTCACCCATCCATGACTCACTCGCTCACCCAGGGACCGCAGGTCACCCCAGAGCCTCCAAGAACCAGGCCTGGGATGGAAGACCCTGGAGACTCTGAGTCCAGTCAGTCTGGTGAAGAAATCTAATCCAGTCCAGGGAGGAGAAGGACCTTCTAAGTAGAGCCTTGAAAAAAGGTACGAGTTGGACACGGCAGGAGGGGCGTTGTCAGAAGTGAGTGTATGTGCAAAGGCCCTGGGGCTGCAGAGATGGGCTGGTTCCCAGGCAATGAGGTGGGGGGTAAGGTGGAAGGGGCCCCATCGCCACAGGCCTTGAATGCGGGGCTGAGGAATCAGAGACCTCCTCGCGGCCTCGGGGGCCTGCTAGACTGGAAAGGGAGACAGAGATGGCTTCGGCGAGTTATAACCAAAAGGGATCAGGGCTGGGGGAGCAACTGCCTGCTTGGTGGGGTCGACAGAGGCTTTCAGAAGACACCCTCTGAGACGAATTTGAAAAGTAGGAGATAACCACGTAGAGAAAGGCTTCCATCAGCTGCTCAGATCAAGGGTCAGCCCACTTTCTTAAAGAGTCAGGCTGGAAATACTCGAGGCGACGCCATCCCTGGGGCAGGTCCTCAGCCCTGCTGCTGCAGCAGTAAGACCGAAACCAGAGAAGACACAGCAGAGGGCTGTGCGCCAAGGAGGCTTCGCTCAGCACACCCGGGCCTGTGGGCCGCCGTGTGCCAAGCCCTGCTTCACACCAGCACTTCCCAGAGGACTCCTGAGTACTGGGCCCTGCGGACACAGAACTCAATCAAACACAGCCCTCGAAGGACCTGGGAGTCTGCCTAGTGAGTCACTGAGTACAGGCTAGTCTTGAGGACCCTCAGCACACCTGGGAAGGTGAATCCTCCTGCCTGGACCTCAATTCCCTGATCACAAAACAGGGAAAATCAAACATTCCTGTGGGGTTATTGGAGGATTGAACAAAACATCTACCCAGCCCAGGGCCTGTCTCTGGACAAATCAACTTGTGTGACTTATTCTTTTATTAATTTAAAAACATGTACTGAGCCCTGTAGGAAGCACTGCTTGGTTTGGGCACTGGGGCCACACCACTGAGCCACTGGCCCCTTGAAGCCCATGTTCCAGCAGGGAAAGCGGGTACGGAACAAGTCAGGAAATGACAGCGCTACGGAGCAAGGTGGGCCGGGAAGGGAGCTGGGGGCTCACGGCCACAGCAGGGGCCCAGTGCAGGGGAGGGTGAGCGCCTTCCAGGCAGAGGCAAGAGCAACCACCAAGTACCCGAAGTGCCAGCCTGAGACCCCCTCCTCGTGCTGAGGGGGCAAGGGCTGGGCACGAGGCAAGGGGGCGGGCAGATCAGGGCTCTCCGCCGTGGCACTGCCATGCTGGCGGGTGGGCGGGTCTCTGGTGAGCACTGCCCTGCTCCCTGGAGGACGTTAAGCAGCTCCCTGGTCTAGATGCCGGGAACCCTCCACCCACCCAAGTGGTGGCACCCGACACAGGACTCAGCCAGGCCGGCGCTGAGGACCTTGGGAGCAGGAGCTCCATCCTGGGTGTGGGGCCGCGGACGAGCGCCAAACAAGGCCAGATGCAGTGCCTTGAATTACTTGATAGGCCCTTCTAGCCAGTCCTTGAGACTCTCCCACAATGACTGGATGGGACTATACAAGTAAGGGGTGTGGAGCTTGTGATGGTTGGGGCCACAATTCCCAGCGTTGCGGTTCCTCCGTTCTGTGATCTGATGTAATCATCCTCCATTTTGTGATGTACTGAAAACCCCAGCCTCTATGACTGTGGTCATGGTCCCGCTTGGGAGTGAGTGGTCCATTACGTTAATGAGCCTGGAATAAGGTGGGATGTACCTCGAGCCACCACCTTACTGAAGTCACAGCTTTGCTTCAGACACAGCTTTTATGTTACAAGAGGTACAAGGAGCGAGAAGTGAGCAGAGAGGGAGGCCCTCACGACCATCAGGAAAGAGCCAGGAGTGAAGCCATCCTCTGGACCCCTGATTCCCGCACTGGGAACCTCCTCGACCAGGAGACAGACAGGCAGAGAGCGCTGTGACAGACGGACAGCAGCAGCCGCAGGGGGCTTAGAGCCCAGCACCTCCAGGCACTTGGTGGAGCTTGGCTGCTAACCTGGGAGCCAGAGCTGACCGCCTCTGGGCACTGACCCGCACAGCTACCAGAACTTTGCAAATGTGCCCAGTGAGGGTAGAGGCCAGGCCAAGGGGCCAAGGGCCAGAGAGAGGAGCCGAGGGCCAGAGACGCCCACCTGCAGCATGGCCGACAAAGGGCCGCCCGGACTGAAGAACTGTCCCCTGAGAGTTCTGAGCGTGAGATGTAACCTGTTACTTCCGTAATAAACCCCATGACTGTGAGTGTGGTCTGTGAGTTCGGTGTGGCCACTGCAGTGAATTACTGAGCCCAGCAGACACGTGGAGAGTGCTGTGGGAGGGACGGGATCGGAACTGGTAAAAGTCTGGGGGGGCGAGACACGTCTGGCTTCTGCCTCACAGGAATCGGGGATGCTGACGGGGACGCCCTCTACCCCAGCGTGAGGTCAGCGGTCAGAGGTCAGAGACTGTGGCCACACCATTTCCACACGGAGCCTGGGCCTGGGGACCAGGGCAGACACTCACTCAGCAGGAAGAGGTTCTGGTAGTTGTCCAGTGCTGTGTCCCAGAACAGGTCCTCCGGGTCCAGCCCCAGCTGCTCCCAGTCCTCCAAGGTGAAGTCCATGGCTACGTTCTCGAGGGTCACAAACTCCTGAAAGGCAGCATCATCAGTGCTCAGAGTCTGAGGTCAGGAGAAAAAGCAAGCAGCTGCCATCCAGTCAGTTCCAACTCCTGGCGACCGGCTGTGCGAGCAGAAATGTGTTCCATGGGGTTTTCAAGTGCTGAGTTTTTGGAAGTAACTCATCCAGCCTGACTGCCCAGGAGGCACCTCTGGGTGGACGTGGGTTCAAACCACCGCCCAGGGGCTGCCCTGAGCCATCCAGCCCTTAGGCATCCTCAAAATGAACCCACCAGGCCCTCCTTCTAGGATAGAACGGCTTTGGAAGGAAGCACTAAAACCAAAACACACTCACTGCCGTCGAGTCGGTCCTGACTCATAGCGACTCCTCCTCAGGTTTCCGAAGTGGCATCCCTATGGAAGAAGATTGCCAGTCTTCCGAGGAGTGGCTGGTGGGTTTGAACCACCAACCTTCTGGTTAGCAGTCAAATGGCTTAGGCACTATGCCACCAGAGCTCCTACTGGGAATAAATTAAAAATTGAGCAGGATGGGGCAAAAGAGATGCTTTAGACCAAAGTGCAAGAAGGAAACAGAACTAAGAAGCTGCGGAGAGCAAGCTGCCGGGTTTCACTGAACACTACAGAGAAGCAACCGAGCAGAAAGTTCTGTGAAGTCAGCAAAGCTCCCCAGTTCTGGAAAACGCACTTCATCCAGAAATGAAGCTCTGGGGGCACAGCGGGTGAGTGTCTGGCTGCGAACCGGAAGGCTGGCAGTTCTAACCCACCAGCTGCTCCACTCCGTGAAAGACCTGGTAAAGTGCTCCTGTAAAGATTACAGCCCAGAAAACCCTACAGGGCAACTCTACTCTGTCCTATAAGGTCACTGTAAGGTTGCTACGAGTCTGAATCAATTAGACAGCAATAGAGTTTTTGTTTTGGTTGAGGATGGCTAAAATAAAAATGACCAAAAATAACCGATGTTAGTGTGGATGTGGGAAAATCAGAACCCTGGCCCATTGCTGCTGGGAATCCCAAGTGGTGTGGATTTTTGCCTCAAAAAGTTAAACACAGAACTACCATATGACCCAGGAATCCCACTCCTAGGTATATCCAAGAGAAATAAAAACTTCTGTCTACGCAGAAACTCATACAGAAATGTTTATTGCAGCGTTATGTGTAACAGCCAAAAGGTGGAAACGACCTAAATGTCCAACAACTGATGAAAAGACTAAAGGTGGTAACACAATGGAATATTATTTAGCAGGAAAAAGAAACACAGTATCGACCCATGCTGCAACAGTGAACCCTGAAAAAATGATACAAGGAAAGGAAGCCAGTCCAATATGCCCATGACCATATGTAAGCTTGACAGACGATACTTCTACATATGTATTTATATATGCTAGGAGAATATCCATGTAACTAGAACTAATGGGGAGCTCTAGTAGCACAGTGCCTAAGGCACTTGACTGCTAACTAAAAGGCTGGCGGTTCAAACCCACCAGCCACTCCTCAGAAGGAAGGTTGGGCAATCTACTTCTTTAGTGATACTGCCTCAGAAACGCAAGGAGGGGTCGCTATCAGTCAGGGCCGACTCGAAGGCACATAACAACAACAACAAAAGAACTAATGAGGACAAAGTTTATGATAACTTCTTAGGTACAGTCAACCACCCTGATGGAGTGAGTTATTGGGCCTGGGGGCTCGGGACCATGGTCACAGGGGATATTAAGTTCAAATAACATAACATACTACACAAAAACAATGCTCTACATCCTACTTTGGTGAGTAGCGACTGGGGCCTTAAAAACTTGCAAGCAGCTGTCTAGATGCAACAATGGGTCTCTCCTCGTCCAAAGCAAAGAAGAAATGAAGAAAACCAAAGAAACCATCGAAACAACTAGTCCAAGGGACTAGCAGACCACGTGCTCCTCAGCCTCCATGACCATGAGACCAGAAGGACTGGACGATGCCCAGCTACCGCTGTCAGCCACTCGGAGGGGGTGCAGTGCAGGAGATCCTGGACAGAATGAGAGAACGACGTGGAACAAAACATAAATCCATTAAAAGAAAAAAAAAGACCAGGTTTACTGGTCAGACAGAGCCTGGGCACGTCCCGAGCCTACGGTCCCTAGTTACTCTTCTGGAATTGAACTCGCTCCCATGGCTTCCAGCCAAACAACAGGCAGGCATATATAGTAAACATTTCCATCAGGTAAATACACTCTTTAGAGCGACCAACCCTGGGAGAACAGAACAGTGTTTGCACAGGGAAGTATCTCAGGGGACAGGAGTACATAGGAAAGGAGGACACAGGGAAGCGGTGACCACAGGGAGGAGGTGGGAAGAGGGCTGTCACTTCATGGGGAATTGCAGTCACTGCCATGAGGGAGCTCTGGTAGCGTAGTGCCTAAAACACTTGACTGCTAACCAGAAGGTTGGCGGTTCAAACCCACCAGCCACTCCTCGGAAGGAAGACTGGGCAATCTACTTCCGTAGTGATACTGCCTCGGAAACCCAAGGAGGGGTCGCTATGAGTCGGGGCCGACTCGATGGCACATAACAACAACAACAACAGCCATGAGAAAAATGCGTGTGAACTGCTATATGGAAAATGAATTTGCTCTGTCAACTTTCACCCAAATCACAATAAAAATTAAAGCATTTACTTTAGTACACTTCACTCAAATACACACAAAAAAAGTCCTGACTCCTGGCGACCCTATAAGAGAACTGCCCCCGTAGGATTTCAAGGCTGTCATCTCCACAGAAGCGTATCAACACATCTTTCTCCTGTGGGGCTGCTGATGGGTTCGAACCACCAACCTTTTGGTCGGTGGCCAAATGCTTTAACCACTGTGCCACCAAGGCTCCTTTCTGTCATACGTGATAGAAAAAAGCCAGAGGGGACAGCCTGAGAAAAGTAGGGCAGCGGGAATGTACAGTGGACATTTTATCTTCAGTCCATGTGTGGACGCATCAGTGGATGCCAGAGAGGTAGGGAGGGCCCAGACCACAGAGGAATGGACTGAGAAACTTAGATTTTATCCTAAGAAGCTGGGATCCCTGGAGATGCACTGAGCCAGACAGCAACAGGATGAGTTTTACTTTAAAAAGGTCACTTAACTCCCCATCTGGAGCAAAGGAAAGCAAATCAAAGATGCAAGGGAACGATTGGTCCAAACGACCAAGCACTACACAAACCACAGTCTCTAAGACCCTGAGACCAGAAGAACTAGATGGTGCCCAGCTACCACTACCGACTGCTCTAAAAGAGATCACATTAGAAGGTCCTAGATAGAATGGGAGAAAAATGTGGACAAAACTCAAAATCGTAACAGAGACCAGTGAGGTGCAGTGAATTACTCAGTATGGCTCTTCCAGCCATGGCCTTTGCGATGCCCTTGGTGACTGAGGGGGACTATGCACATGTGAGGTTTTCACAGCCCCCCAAGAACACTGGATAACTTGCTAATGATGTAAATGAGGTACATGGCACCCTTGCAGGGGCTGGACCATGGGAATAAGGTGTATGGAACCATAATGTGTGGATCGGTCAGTTTTGCCATGTCAAAAAAAACAAAAAAAACTCTCACTGCCATTGAGTCGGATCTGACTCATAGTATCACTACAGAAGTAGATTGCCCAACCTTCTTTCCAAGTAGTGGCTGGAACTGCCAGCCGTCTGGTTAGCAGTGAAATGCCTTAGGCACTAGGCCACCAGAGCCTGCCATGTCACTGGGCTTAAAATGCGCCATCCCAGGGGCAGAACGGGGATCTCACTACCATCAAGACACACAGCCACCAGGAGGGGAGTGTGTCCTGGACCCAAGATACTGCGCTGACACGGCAGCAAGAGGCAGCAGAACAAAGAGATTAGCACGAGACAGAGCGGCAGGTTGGCCGGTCCCCGCAGCGAGAAGCTGAGTGTCTTTGGGCAGGAAGCTGCTGGCAGAGTGGGGTGCACCGACCAGCAGAGCGGAGAGCTTTGCAACACTTCCTGAGCAGGGCAGAGGCTAGGACGGGAGGCCGAGGGCCGCACAGAGGCGTGCCTTTGGGCACGGCCAAGGGGAGGCTATCCTGACGGAAGAGTTGGATCCTGAGCATTCCTGAATCCAAATTATAACCTGTTACTTCTCTAAGAAACCCCATAATCTTGAGTATCATGTGTGAGTTCTGTGTGGCCATTGCAACGAATTACTAACCCAGCAGAGAAGTCGAGAGTGCCTGGGGCAAGACGGTGTCAGAAGTGGTGAAAAGTTTGGAGGGTGGAGGCATGTCTGCCTTCTGCCTTACGGAAACCACCTTTGGCTGCCGCTGCCGGTCCTTCTGTCTCCCCGTGGAAATTAAAGGGCCTCAGAAGATGCCACTGGCATTCCTTTTGCAGCCAGCCCCACTGGACTGATGACTGGTGGAAGCTGCAAGACCCGGGCCCTCAGACACTCATCAAGACTGGAAGTGAACCCCAACTTTCAGCCAAATGCTAAGTCTGTAAGGTGAATAACACTAGGGAGGTGCACGCATTAGAACAACCAGCTGTGAGATCAAAAGGGCAGCGCTTCCCCAGGGATGAAGCCAAGGAGGCGTAGGAAAGGGCAAAGGTCAACGGAACCACAGAGAGGAAGTGGGAAGAGAGCTGCCACACTGCGGGGACTGTAACCAGGGACCTACACGTTCACCGTGCTGCAGTCCCTACTCTCTGCTGGGTCAGTAATTCGCTGCAACGGCCACAGAGAACTCACACACGATACTCGTGATTATGGGGTTTGTCAGGGAAGTAACAGGTTATAATTCAGGTGCGGAATGCTCAAGATCCAGTTCTTCAATCAGGACAGCCTCCCCTTGTTGTCGTCGTGTGCTGTCGAGTCAGACGTGACTCATAGCGACCCCTCCTTGGGTTTCCGAGGTGGTATCACTGAGGAAGTAGATTGCCCAGCCTTCCTTCCGAGGAGTGGCTGGTGGGTTTGAACCGCCAGCCTTCTGGTTAGCAGTCAAATGCCTTAGGCACTGCGCCACCAGAGCTCCTACCTTCACAGAAGCAAAGCCCAAACCAAACCCAGTGCCTGGAGGGGATTCTGAGCCACAGCGCCCCTAGAGGACAGAGTGGAACTGCCCACAGGGTCTCCAAGGCTGTCAGTCTTTATGGGAGCAAAGCCCAAACCACACCCACTGGAAGCAAAGCCCAAACCAAAGTCACTGCCATTGACTTGACTCGACTCATAGCGACCCCTCCTTGGGTTTCCGAGGCAGTATCACTACGGAAGTAGACTGCCCAACCTTCCTTCCGAGGAGTGGCTGGTGGGTTTGAACCGCCAGTCTTCTGGTTAGCAGTCAAGTGCCTTAGGCACTACGTCACCAGAGCTCCTAGCGTTCCCTTGGCCGAGCCCAAAGGCACGCCTCTGTTGGGCCCTCGGCCTCCCGTCCTAGCCTCTGCCCTGCTCAGGAAGTGTCGCAAAGCTCTCCGCTCTGCTGGTCGGTGCACCCCACTCTGCCAGCAGCTTCCTGCCCAAAGACACTCAGCTTCTCGCTGCGGGGCCCGGCCAACCTGCCGCTCTGTCTCGTGCTAATCTCTTTGTTCTGCTGCCTCTTGCTGCCGTCTCAGCGCAGTATCTTGGGTCCAAGGACACACTCCCCTCCTGGCGGCTGTGTGTCTTGATGGTAGTGAGATCCCCATTCTGCCCCTGGGATGTCGCATTTTAAGCCTAGTGACATGGCAAGCTCTGGTGGCCTAGTGCCTAAGACAATGTCACAAAACAAAACGTGTAAGAATTGTTGAATGGGAGAGCAATTTGCTGTGTAAACTTTCATCTAAATCACAATAAAAAAAGATAAAACACGCATAGTGGGGAGAGAGACTCACTGAGGGGCTGCCAGGGAACAGAGACCCAGAACAACTGCCAGGTGTCCAGCCGTCTGGGAGCCTGAGTTAAGGTGAAGGGCCCCTCCTTTAAACCTTAACCTAAAATAACCCTCTGAAGTCGTCTTTAAACGCAATGCTTTAGCTTAACTGGCAAAGAACATCCGCCTTTAGCACCTAATGGCATCAGACTGATAACAGGGTCTGCAAAGACTGGCCAGGGAGCTTGGGGGCAGCTGACGAGAACCGGGAGGGACTACTCAGAAAAGGAGTGAGAGGAGGGCGCCGCAGCTCAGACGGCCCCAGTGTTACCCAAAGGCACGAGCAGAAACGGTGGGACTGGGGAAGTTCGGCTGTGCACGTTCTCAACAACAGAAATCATTAAACATAAAAAGCAGAAGGGAACTTCCACTCACCTCGGTCATTGCCGACTGGGGCGCGGCGCCTGGGGTCCCCTTTCAGGCTCCTCCTCCTTCCCCTCCCCGTTTCCGGCTGGCAGGGCTGCAGGAAGGACCAGGGAGCCAGGAGAAAGCCTCTCTTCTTCCTGCGGCCGACTGCCTGTCCATGACACCCCACGATGGCCGAAGTCTCAGTCACAACCTGAGTCTTCCTGCGAGAATCCCAAAGACGGCCGTGCCCTGTGAACGCCTCGGCCCTACGCGGCGTTCATCGCGCTTCAGGCTACGAGCTCCTTGTCGGCCAGTCAGGGCCCGTCCAGGTGGAGGGAGGCTGTCTCTGCAGAGCCTTCGCCGGGTGCTCACCGCCGGGTCTGAGCACCGGCCCGGCGCCTGGGACACGGGAGGTGTTGTGAGATACCTAACAGACCAAACGTGTCTCTCCGAACCCCTAACAAGACCTGAGATCCCCAACCACCATCTCGAGGATTAGAGACCATCGGTGGGCCCACCCGCAGAGCTGCTGCTATTTCTCGGACAGCTCTCTCTCTCTCTCTTTTTTTATGTCATGACCCCCAGTAATGAAGACAACATACACTGTCATGACTTCTCCACATGTATGTAATTAAAACAAGAGCTTCATCCCACAACACTTACGCTTATCACTGTACCCTTACATTGCAGGATGTACATTGCAGGATGTACTAGGATAGTTCCTATTCTGGTCTCTGTTCTACTTTGTTAGAAAAGTTAGTTACTGCCCACTGACGTCATCCCGTGACGCGCGACGTGCGAAGCACAGAGCCACGGGGTCTGTCTGACATCGCACTCTCCGGCTTTTTGACGGTGTACTTTCCGAAAAGCAAGTATCTGCTGCTAATGTTGAAAGCACCAATCAGATAATCTCAACAAAGCAAAGGATGAGCTCAACAATGACCGGAGATGTCACTGCCGTCAGCACGGACTCTGACTCCTGGGGACCCCCATGCAGACGCTGCTCACAGGGTTTTCAACGGCTGATTCTCCGGAAGGAGACCGCCAGGCCCTCCTTCTGTGAATGGACTCGAATCTCCAGCCTCTGCATTAACATCTGAGCGTGTTAGCTTTTGTGCCACCTGTTGTGGTTGGGTGTCAAGTCGACTTGGACTCCAAGGGACTTCCAGGCTGTAATCTTTAGGAAGCAGACTGCCAACCAAGTCTTTGTAAGGTGGAGCTGCTGGGCGGGTTCAAACCACCAATGTCTGGGTTAGCAGCCAGAGCACTGAACCCCCGCACCCCAGGGCTTCCTCTGTACCACCCTGAAGGTCTCTTAACAATGAATGACAAAGGCTTACAATTGTCTGAAACCTCGAGGGCCAGATATAGTTTAAAATTCAGAAATTTTCAAACTTTAAAAAGGTGATATAGTGTTGTTGTTGTTATATGCCGTCGTCAGACCCGACTACTCCTTGGGTTTCTGAGGCAGTATCACTACAGAAGTAGATTGCCCAACCTTCCTTCCGAGGAGTGGCTGGTGGGTTTGAACTGCCAGCCTTCTGGTTA